GTGGATCAGGTTAGTAGTGGAGCAAGCTAGTAGTGGATCAGGTTAGTAGTGGATCAGGATAGTAGTGGATCAGGCTAGTAGTGGATCAGGATAGTAGTGGAGCAAGCTAGTAGTGGAGCAAGCTAGTAGTGGATCAGGTTAGTAGTGGATCAGGATAGTAGTGGATCAGGCTAGTAGTGGATCAGGATAGTAGTGGAGCAAGCTAGTAGTGGAGCAAGCTAGTAGTGGATCAGGCTAGTAGTGGATCAGGATAGTAGTGGATCAGGCTAGTAGTGGATCAGGATAGTAGTGGAGCAAGCTAGTAGTGGAGCAAGCTAGTAGTGGATCAGGTTAGTAGTGGATCAGGTTCGTAGTGAATTAGGCTAGTAGTGGATCAGGCTAGTAGTGGACCAGGTTAGTAGTGGATCAGGCTAGTAGAAGATTTCTTCACTTTGCAATTTCACGTCTTTTTCACTCATCGACCACAGCTGACTCGCCACCTCCTTGTTACATGCTAAAGCCGATGTCTTTGCCTCCTGAAGATTAGACACCCTAGCTTATTTCACCTGATGATTAGACACCCTAGCTTATTTCACCTGATGATTAGACACCCTAGCTTATTTCACCTGATGATTAGACACCCTAGCTTATTTCACCTGATGATTAGACACCCTAGCTTATTTCACCCTTTATTTCCTCCTCACCTTCCCACTTGCCTTCTTCCTCCCTCACCCCTTCCTACTTGCCTTCTTCCTCCTCACCCCTTCCTACTTGCCTTCCTCCTCCTCACCCCTTCCTACTTGCCTTCTTCCTCCTCACCCTTCCTACTTGCCTTCCTCCTCCCTCACCCCTTCCTACTTGCCTTCTTCCTCCCTCACCCCTTCCTACTTGCCTTCCTCCCTCCCTCACCCCTTCCTACTTGCCTTTCCTTCCTCCTCCTCCCTCCCTCCCTCCCTCACAGTACCTTGCAATCCACGAAGTATTTTCCTGACACGCTTCACCTCCTCAGACACTGCTAGGTGTATGGTCGTTTGGGTCCCACCTCGTCCTGGGGAGAGAGTGAGGGGGTGGTGGTGGTTAGATACGACCATTATAATATGATGGATTAACGTAGGTAACAAACTTAATGTAAATATACAACAAAGTCAGAAGTTCAGTATAATAATCAGAATTAATATGTAAAAAAATTAAACGCCAAAAAAAATAGTGGGTGGGTGGGTGGGTGGGTGGGTGGGTGAGTGGGTGGGTGAGTGGGTGGGTTAATGGGTGGGTGGGTGAGTGGGTGGGTTAATGGGTGGGTGGGTGCGTGGATGGGTGGTTGGGTGAGTGCAGTACCTTGCAGATAATTTTACTCAGTGGATTTAATTCACCGGTCAAGAGAATTAGCGGATGAGGGTTTATTAAGTCGGTGTGGATGACACCCGGGTGAAGGCTGTTGGCTGTCACACCTGTGGATAAAGACTGGGGTGAAACAGGTGTACAGGTGTGATAATACCTGTAATTAGTGAAGACAAGGTGTAGGTTAAGTAAACATTGTGGACGAAGTAAATTTATACTAAACTAACGTGACTTAATCTAAGATAAGTTAACTTTACCAATCAGACTTAGGAAGTTGAACTAAGAAAACTTGGATCAATCTAAATTAAGCTAAGCTAACATAATCTTACCTAAGCAAACCTAACTTGAGCTAACACCCCAAACAAGATATGAGGAATAGGTGGTGGTGATCTTTGAGAGAGAGAGAGAGAGAGAGAGAGAGAGAGAGAGAGAGAGAGAGAGAGAGAGAGAGAGAGAGACTTACCGGTACCAGACAGTTTAGATGCCAGCTCCAGGGTAAACAGAATATTACACACTTTACTCTTGCCGTACGCCCGGATCCTGTTGTAAGGTTCTGTCTTGAAGTTGAGAGCGGCAGAGGTGACATCCAGGCTTTTGATGAACCAGTGATTTCCTGAGGACACGTTCACGATACGGCTGGGGACACTCTGCTTCAGTAGCCCTGTTGAGTAATGCACGTAGAGTTTAGTGTTAGGTGAACATATCTAGTTAAGGTAGAGTCTCAATGTTAATTTTGTCTCCTAACTGGTGCTAAGTGAATGTATCTAGTTAAGGTAGAGTCTCAGTGCTAATTTTGTCTCCTAACTGGTGCTAAGTGAACGTATCTCGTTAAGGTAAAGTCTCAGTGTTAATTTTGCCCCTTAACTAGTGCTAAGTGAATGTATCTAGTTAAGGTACAGTCCCAGTGTTAATTTTGTCTCCTAACTGGTACTAAATGAACGTATCTAGTTAAGGTAGAGTCTCTGTCAATTTTGTCTCCTAACTGGTGCTAAGTGAACGTATTGTTACAACCTTCACACCCTCTTCTTAGACTCACTAGAGGATGTATAGTCAGCCCAGAGGCCCATTATATCAGAGGAGACTCTGAAATAACAGCTTCTGTTAACAGAGAGGTTAAATGTTAAACACAGACCCTTACCTTATTTCTGGCTAACAACCTCCTGACAGCTGACAGGTGTTTATTTCAATACCACTGGTCCCATTAAAACTGGTTTAATCAAAACTCAACAGCTTTAAAATTACAACAAAATATATATAACAACAAAATATAATAAATATGTGCTCTCCGTCCTTGTGTATACACGAGGCCACAAATGAATTCACTCAGTATAATGTTATCTCCACCAAATACAATGCTCTCTCATTACTACAATAATCTTTAGACTATAATGAACATATTATACTTGAGTTAACACCATAACTATCCATGATTGTCCAGGTAATAATAGATAAATGTGCACCACACTAGCTTGACCCTCCTATCCTCCACAACCTAGCTACCGAGAGTGCCGCCAAAACCAAAACAATGTTCCGATACTTTCTTGTTTCATCAACATATAATTTTTAATTCTTTTTATACTTCACACCTGCTTCTTACAGTCTTTCATAACAGTATAAAAAATAAAAATACATTCTACAAAGTTTACAAAATGGAACACATACTAGTATACATACTTATATAAAATAATCAAGACATTTATTAAAGTCTTTACCATAAGCTTGGAATTTCGATTCTAAAGAAAAACGAGAAACAACAGAAACTAAATACAATGGGTAACTGAAACAAATATTGAGGGAAAGGGGAGACGACCGTAATAGTATCTAGTTAAGATAAAGTCCCAGGGTTAATTTTGTCTACTAACTGGTGCTAAGTGAATGTATCTAGTTAAGGTAGAGTCTAGGTGTTAATTTAGGATTTTTTTCAATATTCACTATTTATGAACAATATTGACTAGATAACGGAACCAGGAGGAAGTTAATGAGGAAGAAGACATATCCTAGGAGGAGGAGGAGGAGGAGGGGGAGGAGGAGGATGAGGTTAGAGAAGAGGAGGAAGACGTACCTAGGAGGAGGTTGGTCAGGAGGAAGTGGCCGTAGTGGTTAGTTGCCATGGTCAGCTCAAGATCATCTTTGGTCATTCTCTTGTCTTTGAAGCCAATTATACCCGCGTTGTTTACCTGCAAGTACAGGTGTATTGTTTACACCTCTCTCTCTCTCTCTCTCTCTCTCTCTCTCTCTCTCTCTCTCTCTCTCTAAGCTTACTGACCCATACAACATATCCCTCTACTCCTAAGCCTATACACTTCTATCCATTCCTTCCTTTAGTCCTCAGCCCCTCTTACCCCTATCCCTAAGTCCATTCTACTTCTAGCCTGTAGCTCTTCCTGCATGTAGTCCTCAGCCCACAGCCTATCCTATTCCAGCTCTTACCCCTTACTGCTATTAGCCCTTAGCCCCTCCTAGCCTGAGTTCATCCTACCCCTAGCTCTCAGATCTTTCTACCTCTAGGTCAAAGCCCCTTCTACTTCCAGGCATTCCAATCCCACCCCTCAGCCCATCTTGCCCTCCAGCCCCTCCTGCTCCCAGCCCCCAGCCACTCCTGCCCTTAGCCCCTCCACCCACTGTACTCACCAGGATGTGCAGGGATTTCTCCGTCAGTAGAATCTCATTGGCGAATTGCCTGACGGAGGCGAGGTCAGAGGTGTCCAGTTCCCTCACCACCACCTCCCCGACGCTTCCCTCAGCTTCCCGGATCCACGCTGAGCAAGATGATATACAGTTCAGGTGTTGTAAATGTACAGGTGAGGTGTTGTCAATATACAGCTCAGGTGTTGTCAATATAAAGGTGTTTTCAATATAAAGGTGTTGTCAATATACAGTTCAGGTGTTGTCAATATTCAGTTCAGGTGTTGTCGACCTTACCTGCCACTTTGCATGCTTTCTCCAGGTTCCTACAGGCCAGTATTACCCGGGCACCTCGACGCACCAGGTCCTTAGCGGTGAACTTCCCTAGACCTGCCGTAGGAATAAGACCCACTAATTACTGCAACACCTCAGTCCTATCACAGGTAGATGAATAATAGGTAGTGAGGAGGTGGGTGAAATTATGATGATTTAAACCTAGAAAGGGATGTGGCACTGTCATTATAAGAACAAGGTGTGGCACTGTCATGTTATTATAAGTACAAGGTGTGGCACTGTCCTATTATTATGAGTACAAGGTGTGGCACTGTCCTGTTATTATGAGTACAAGGGGTGGTAGTGGACTGTCATTATAAGTACAAGGTGTGGCACTGTCCTATTATTATGAGTACAATGTGTGGTACTGTCCTGTCATTATAAGTACTAGTTGTGATACTGTCCTGTCATTATAAGTACAAGGTGTGGCACTGTCCTATTATTATGAGTGTAGGTACTGGACTGTGTCATTATAAGTACAAGGTGTGGCACTGTCCTGTTATTATGAGTACAAGGTGTGGCACTGTCCTATTATTATGAGTACTAGGTGTGGTACTGTCCTGTCATTATAAGTACTAGTTGTGATACTGTCCTGTCATTATAAGTACGAGGTGTGGCACTGCCCTGTCATTACAAGTACAAGGTGTGACACTGTCATCACAAGTACTGACCTGCAGATCCACCAGTGACGATGGCAGTCTTCCCCGTCAGTGACCTTTGGGAGTGGCATCGACCCGAGGTTTTCCTGTACAAGATGCGAAGACCGAACAACACAGCCACCACCGTCACCAACACCTCGATCCACATGACTCAACGATGACTGAAAGAGGATGTGAGTCAGTTAGTGTGTGACTGAAAGAGGCTGTGAGTCAGTTAGTGTGAGTCACGGCTTTGAAACTCATATGTTATATCCGAGAGAGAGAGAGAGAGAGAGAGAGAGAGAGAGAGAGAGAGAGAGAGAGAGAGAGAGAGAGAGAGAGAGAGAGAGAGAGAGAGAGCATCAATTAGAAAGTTTATAATGACCTGTTAAGAGAATTGAACGACAGTAATTTATCCTGATTTACCTGTATGATGACTTCAGGAGTTAGTTCACCTGGTGACTACTGAAGGGGGAGCAGGAGGAGGTTGTCAAGAGGCGCCTGTGTGTGTGTGTGTCGTTCTTGATAATGTCGGGGCTCAACTGACTCGTGTACTCTCTACCCTCCCACTATCTTCCCCTACCTCCCTCTTCCCCCCTCCCTCCATCTTCCACCCTTCCATCCTCCTCTTCGATCTCTCCCACTTCCCCCTCCTCCCTTTCCCCCCTCCTCCCCTCCGTCCTTCTCCCCCTCTTCCCTCTTACCCCTCCCACACCTCCTACCCTCCCCCTTCTCCCAGCTTCCTTCCTTCCCTCCCTCCCTCCCTCCTTCCACCCCCTAACATCTCCACTAATTAAATTCTCTATTATTGAACTCAACGCAACTAAAAAAAATATGTAAAACAAAATATATTAATAACTTAATTTATATGTTATTATTATTTATTACTCGAAATAATCACATTAATTAAAGGTGTGGCAGGTAGAGGTACAGACTGAGTTGAATGTTATCAGATCACAGGTGAGATAACTTGTGGCACTGATAATTTTATCCAGACAAGAGAGTGCCAGGGTGCCATGGCAACTCAGTGTGTGTGTGTCGTTAATGAACTTTGTTATTGTAATGATTGTAATGCATTGCTGTAATTAAATGTGTTGTACTGTCATGTATAAATGTGTGTGTGTGTGTGTGTGTGTGTGTGTGTGTGTGTGTGTGTGTGTGTGTGTGTGTGTGTGTGTGTGTGTGTGTGTGTGTGTGTGTGCGTCATCACAGAAAGCAGGCAGGGCTGATAACACAGTATAGATATGTGTTATCAACATTGTGTGATGTAACTAGTTCTCTGTCACTTGAAAAGGCAGTGATGATGATGATGATGATGATGATGATGATGATGATGATGATGATGATGATGATGATAATGATGATAATGATGACGACGACGACGACGATGATGATGATGATGGTGATGATGGTGATGATGATGAGAGTGATGAGGGCGCTAATTATCCTATCCTAATCAAACCTAACCTAACGTAACCAGCATGACCTGACCTATCCTGGAACATCGAGGGCACCTGACCTGAGCACACGCCATTGATCTATAATAAGCCCTCTCCTTCACAACTCAAAAGGCTAATCTCAGTCCTGTGTCTTTTTGTTTGGCGGTCCTCCTCCTCATCCTCTCTGGTGCAACCGTCGTGTCAGAATGTTCCCGGAAATGAACTGCAGAGGGCTCACTCATATTCTGGGGTCATCCCTCAGCTAACACTAACAAACACTCATGACGTCACCTATCTGCCTATCAACATCCGCACGTTTCCCTTATCAACATGGCTCTGACGTCACTACCACAACACTTCATAGTAACCACCGGCCAATCACATGGGTTAAAGATCATCACGTTTTCTTGTTGGTGGGGAGACTCGTAGGTCATAAGCCTGTAATAAATAGAGACTGAGACGTTGATTATCTCTCAAGGATCTCTCCTCTCCCCTCCTCTCTCTCTCTCTCTCTCTCTCTCTCTCTCTCAACATCAACGTCAACACAACGAATGAACTGATGAGAGGAAAGAGAAGAGGGTACCAATACCATTACATCCCATCACTTATATGCATTTGCCCACCTCCCTACCACCCCCTGCCCTCTGCCACAAAGGCCTACCATTTTGCATATCTCATCTCCTCCGCGCTAATAACTGCTCCCTCAGCCTTTGTCCACGTTTCACTTGCCGTTCTTATGGAAAAACTCCTCGTAATCTGCAGATGTGGGCAATTCTGCCACTCTCTATCTCTCTCTCTCTCTCTCTCTCTCTCTCTCTGTTATTTTTCCCTCTCACTCTTTCTCTCTCTTCCCATGTCTCCTCTCCCTCATTCCTCCTTCTCCTCTCCCCTCCCCCTCCCTCATTCCCTTCTTCTCCTCTCCCCTCCTCCCTCCCCTCATTCACCCCTCCTTCTCCCCTCCCCTCCTCCCTCCCTCATTCACCCTTCTTCTCCTCTCCCCTCCCTCCTTCCACCCTCCCTTCTCTCCCTCCCTCCCCCTCCCATCATTCTCCTTCTTCCCCCTCTCCCCCTCCCCCCCTCCCACTCATTCACCCTCCTTCTCTCCCTCTCCCCTCCTCCCTCCCTCCATTCACCCTTCTTCTCTCCCTCTCCCTCCTCCTCCCCTCATTCACCTCCTTCTCCCCTCTCCCCTCCCCTCCCACTCATTCACCCTCCTTCTCTCCCTCTCCCCTCCCCTCCCCTCATTCCACCTCCTTCTCCCCTCTCCCCTCCCTCTCCTTACCTCCGTCTCTCCCTCCCCTCCCTCCCTCCCTCATTCACCTTCTCTCCCTCCCTCCCTCCTCCCCTCATTCACCCCTCCTTCTCTCCTCTCCCTCCTCCCTCCCCTCCTTCACCCCTCCTTCCCCACTCTCCCCTCCCCCTCCCCACTCATTCACCCTTCTTCCCCCTCCCCTCCCTCCCTCCCTCCATTCACCCTCCTTCCCCCTCTCCTCCCCCTCCATTCACCTCCTTCCCCTCTCCCCTCCCCTCCCCTCATTCCTCCTCTCTCTCTCCCCCTCCCCTCCATTTACCCCTCCTTCTCCCCTCTCCCCCTCCCCCTCCCTTATTCCCTCCTTCTCTCCCTCTCCCCTCCCTCCCTCCCCTCATTCACCCTCCTTCTCCCTCTCCCCTCCTCCCTCCTCATTCACCTCCTTCTCCCCCCTCTCCCTCCTCCTCCCTCATTCACCTCCTTCTCCCCTCTCCCTCCCCCCCCTCCTCCCATTCCCCTCCTTCTCCCCTCTCCCCTCCCTCCTCCCCTCTCATTCACCTCCTTCTCCCCTCTCCCTCCCCCCCCTCCTCCCTTTCACCCCTCCTTCTCCCCCTCTCCCCTCCCCTCCTCCCTCATTCACCCTTCTTCTCTCCCTCTCCCCTCCCTCCCTCCCCTCATTCCCACCCTCCTTCTCTCCCTCCCCTCCCCTCCCCTCCCTCTTCCACCCCTCCTTCTCCCCTCTCCCTCCCCCCTCCCTCATTCCCCTTCTTCTCTCCCTCTCCCTCCCTCCCTCCCCTCATTCACCTCTTCTCCCCTCTCCCTCTCCTCCCCTCCCATTCACCCTTCTTCTCTCCTCTCCCCTCCTCCCTCCCACTCATTCACCCTCCTTCTCCCCTCCTCCCCTCCCTCCCCCCACTCATTCCCCTCCTTCTCCCCTCTCCCTCCCCCCCTCTCCCACTCATTCACCCCTTCTTCTCCCCTCTCCCTCCCCTCCCTCCCCACTCATTCCCCCTCCTTCTCCCCTCTCCCCTCCCCCTCCCTCTATTTCCACCTTTCTTCTCTCCCTCTCCCTCCCCTCCCTCCCCTCATTCACCCTTCTTCCCTCTCCCTCCTCCCCTCCCCTCTTCTCCCTTCTCTCCCCTCTCCCCTCCCTCCCTCCCCTCATTCCCCTCCTTCTCCCCCTCTCCCTCCCTCCCTCCCCCTCCCATTCACCCTCCTTCTCTCCCTCTCCCCTCCCTCCCCTCCCACTCATTCACCCTTCTTCTCTCCCTCTCCCCTCCCTCCCTCCCCTCATTCACCCTCCTTCTCCCCCTCTCCCTCCCCCTCCCCTCATTCACCCTCCTTCTCCCCTCTCCCTCCTCCCTCCACTCATTCACCCTCCTTCTCTCCCCCCCCCCCTCCATCTAAGGCCGTTCTGTCCTTCCATATTCCATTATAGGCGTCATCAATTCCCCCACAACCATCAACCCCACACACACACACGCTTCATTGATTTGGTGGAAGTCATCAATTGATTTTTATCTATCTATCTATCTATCTATCTATCTATCTATCTATCTATCTATCTATTTATCCTCTCTCTTTCATTCTCCCCCATTTCTCTCAGTCTCTCTGTCTCTTTCTTTCTTTCTGTCTGTCTGTCTGTGTCTCTTTCTCTCTCAGGGTGACTTTTTCCCACACAAACAAGGGCCGGTGAAGAGTTACACGTCAAGGTGCCTCCTCACTGACAGGTAACTAGGACACTGAGTGAGGGGGTGAGGTCACAGACAACAAACAGACAGACAGACAGTCTCTAATTATGCTCTCGTGACAATTAAACTTTCTATCTGTAACACCAATGTGAAGTTTCTAAAGGTATTTGTTCGCTTTCTTTCTTCAACCCATAAAGTTAAGTAAACACATATATACTAAAACGGTCACATGACAGAATACTACTTTCATAGGCAACACACAAAACTTTCTCTGCAACAAGATTAAGAAAGTCAACACAACTTCCTCAATGTGCGGGCATAATTTAGCATTTCTGAAAAGGTTAGGATTGGTTGGGTACAGGACAATGTATTCCAGGGTGAAAAGTGAATATTTACCTCAGCATGTGGATGCAGCAGGCAGGTGTATCAGCGTTCAACTTTGACCTCCAGACATGTAACAAGGTAAGAGGAAGCGGTCACACACACACACATAATAATGGAGAAATGCAGTAGGCCCTGTTGGCTCATACTGGGTAGTCCGTTTACACCCAACCCCTATTGCTCATATATCCATCCAACCTCTATGTTTGAAGCCATCCAGCGTATTCGAGTTAATGATGATGTTTGGTAACTTGTTCACTCGTCCTACTCTATTTCCAAACCGATATTTCTTTCGCGCCTAAACCTAGGTTGACTAATTTAAAACCATTGTTACAGGTTTGCTCTTGGTTGGATAGTTTGGGTACCTTTGTTATATCACCTTTGTTTTAGCCCTTCCATTTATGCCTAGATCATATCGCCCTCACTCTACGTCTCTGAGAATTGCAAATTAAGATCTTTAACCTGTCTCTGTACTCAAGGTTCCTAATGCCCAGGATTAGTCTTGTTCATTCTTCTCTAATTCTTTTAGGAATTCTATATCCATTTTGTAGTGATGACCAGAACTGAACCGCGTAATCCAAGTAAGGTCTCACAAGCGAAGATATAGTTTTAGGGTGACCTCATTATCTTGTAATTAACCTCCTTGTAACACACACACACACACACACACACACACACACACACACACACACACACACACACACACACATACACACACACACACACACACACACACACACACACACACACACACACACACACACACACACACACACACACACACACACACACACCCTTACCTGTGTGTTTTTAGGCTTTCACAGATCATCTGCCACTTAGCCAACTCATTCCTCTAATCACGTCATGAAACTGTGATTTGGGCGGTTTTGATACTGGTGGTCGTGAATTGACCTGTTATGCTGTTGCCTCCTACTTCCTTCTCCTGCCTCCCTACTGCCTCCATATGCCTTCTCCTGCCTCCCAGTGCCTCTCTTCCTCCTCCTGCCTCCTACTGCCTCCCTACTGCCCCCTGCCTTCACCTGCCTCCTATTGCCTCCTCTGCTCCCTGCTGCTTTCTCCTGCCTCCTACTGCCCCCTACTGCTTTCTCCTGCATCCCTATTGCCTCCTTTCTGCCTTCCTGCCTCCCTGTTGCCTCTCTGCTCTCTGCTGCTTTCTCCTGCCTCCCTCCTCTGCCCCCTACTGCATTCACTGCTCTTTTCCTGCTGTCCTCACTGGCTCTCTTATCTTTCTCTGGCTCCATCCTGTTATCTCTGTCTTGATATCTTCCTTGCCCCTGCTGTATATCTCTGTTGTATCCTGTTGCTTCTTTGCATTATCCTGCCTGTTGATGTCTCTGCTTAGCTGAACCCACACCACTAAGGACCCCCACGGCGTCCCCAGCCACACCACTAAAGGATGCCCCACAGCCCCCAACCCCCACTAGAGCACCCCACAGCACATCAACCACACCCTCAGAAACCTCACAGCATATCCCCAACCCACCACTGAGAACACTCACAGCACATCATTCCCACCTCAAAACCACAGCACATCCCCAACCCACACCACTAAAGACACCCCCACACATCACCAACCGCCCCCAACACTTCCCCAACACACCCCTTAACACATCTCCACACAAAGTAGTAGTGTGGGGATGTGTTGAGATGTGTTGGGGTGTGTTAGAGATATGAGAGTCTCAATCTCTAAAACAGGAGTAACGCATATTCACCTGCTAGCATTGTAATAGTGATACACCATTACCAGTTAAACTACAGTTAGCACTGTCACATTGTCAGTCACGTCTACAAAGTCAGTATAAGGAAACTAATATATTAATTCTGACCTAATGCTCTGATTCAGCTGAACACTCTGTCAGATATTGCTGAGTTCTGTACTGGACATCTTTCCTTCACATACATACATACATACATACATACATACATGTACATACATGCATACATACATACATACATACATACATACATACATACATACATACATACATATTACATACATACATACATGCATACATACATACATACTATACATACATACATACATACATACATACATACATACATGCATTGCATACATACATGTACATTTGCATACATACATACATACATACATACATACATACATACATACATACATACATCATACATACATACATACATACATACATACATACATACATACACACATACATCAAGTACACTGTTAAATTGTAGTGTGAGAAGCTTATGTACTATTAAAACTGTGTGTTAAGGTGTGATCGTGAACGTTACTACTGTGTTAAGCTTTGTGGTAAGATCAAAACTGTGTATAGTGAGCGAGAAAAAAATAGTGTAACGACAGTCGATAAGCTTGAATATAGGAATGGTGGTGGTGTGAACCCGGCCTCCTGGGAGAATCCCGGCCACAGAAACTCGGCCTCCTGGAAACCTGGCCTTCTGGAGAATCTGGCTTCTCCAGGACAGCCTCCATGTCTTGACCTCAGAGATACTGGCTCTGCCTCCTGAAACCTGGCCTCCTGAATCGGGCTTTCTGAACCTGGCTTCCTGGTCTTCTTCCTGGACGGCTGCGATGATCTTCTAGAGGCCCGGCCTCCTGTGATGCTTGAGAAATCTGCTTCTGGGAACCCAGCCTCCTGAATAACCTGGGCTTGGTAGCCCGGCTCAGAGAGCCCGGCTCTGGATAACCCTGCCTCCAGGCCCGGCTCTGGATAACTCCTACCTGAGCTAGACCCGGCTCTGGATAACCCTGCCTCCCGAAGGACCCGGCCTCCTGGATAACCTGCCTTCCGAGAACCCGGCTTCTGGATAACCCTGCTCCTGAAGGAGCAGCCTCCTTGATAACCCTGCATCCGGAGAACTCGGTGGTGGGTTGGTGTGCGGCCTTGGATAACCCTGCATTTCAGAAGAACCCGTCTCCTGGATAGCCTGCTCTGAAGAACCCTGCCACGCGATTTTCTGGCTAACATAAAGACGTACTCTATGCCTGTTCTGTTGGCTCCGGTAGTGTTCGAGGGTATAGTCCACATAAAATGTTCTACTGGCAAACAACACAATCAGTGAGTGAACCTTACTGTCACATGCAACTGATAAACTAAACACTATAATGATTAACTTTGTACTTCTTTGTTATTTTAAACGTGTAATGTAGTAGTTAAATTACCATCAACAAATACTATGAGAACATACCCACACACACACACACACACACACACACACACACACTCACCATGACCCTGGGTGTACACGATGAGGAATCATTTGGTTTAAAATATATAAGAAAGTGTTATGAAATGTGTGTGTGTGTGTGTGTTGTTTGTGTGTGTGTGTGTGAATTATGTCAACAAAACAGATTTAAACCAACAGTGTTGGCTGGTTCAAGTATGTTTCAAGAACCTGTCCAGTATGGCATGGTGTAACAGGCAGTAGCATGCCTGACCTTGCTGGCTTGTTGACTACCGACCTGCAATAGCTGCCGTAATAAGAGATAGGTAGGTAACAGGTAAGTGACGGAAAAGTGTCACTTGTTGTATTGTTGTATCAGTGGTCGACAGTACACCTTTAAGCCTGGGCGTGGTATCTTTACATCACACACACACACACACACACACACGGAACCAGTATCATAACACCTCTTGAACTCAGAGACCTCTTTCTAAAAACGATACTACTGAACCACAAGTAATCATAATCACTACAATGACCACAACAACTACAACAATCACCACTTGGACTTATTGACGCTACATCTCTGTCTATGGATGAATGGATGATGGATGTGAAAAACACTGACAGGAAATCCACTCAGAAGATGATAATGTCAAAACCGCCTGTCGAGTTCCAGAGAGAGAGAGAGAGAGAGAGAGAGAGAGAAAGAGAGAGAGAGAGAGAGAGAGGAGAGAGAGAGAGAGAGAGAGAGAGAGAGAGAGAGAGAGAGGCTATTATATTCTCCTGCCTTTCGGAGTTGATAAATTGTTATCTCTGTAACCTCTCTCTTAGTCCCCTTCCCACTTTCTCCCCTAATCCATCCCTACTTCCAAGCTCCATCCCTCACTCTTTCCCTCCAAACTCTCTTCTGTCCCCTCCTCTCTTACTCCCCACTTCCTTTCACTAGTCCTTAATTCTTCCTTCCCTCCCTCATTCCAACACCCTCTCTTCTCTGTCAGTTTTTGCCCTCATCTGTCCTACCATCCACTAACACCTCTGTCTATCTGTTGTCTGTTGTCTGTCTCACTTCCCCAATGCCATAAATACACATCGGTCATTTTCATAATTGACCTACCTCTCTCTCTTCCCCTGCAAAAGTGTATAAATAGATTTCCAGTCTGACCAACATTTTATCTGTTGTGTTGTTGTTGTGATTCTCTCAGTCAACAGTTCTACAATTGAAATACTATTTACAATTGAGTTTAACAGACCACAGCCACAGAAACCTTAACCTGGGGGGAGGGGACGGGTGGGGAGGGGAAGGAGGCTGGATAGGGAGGTAAAGGAGGAGGGGATAGGTGGGGATGTGATAGGAGAGGAGGAGAAATGGTGAAGGAGGTAGGCAGACCTGACCATTTCAATCCTGTTATTTTTATGTCTGTCTGTGAAGGGTGGAGGGGGGGGGGTAAGGTAGTAGGGGAAAGGAGGGATGGAGGAGGGGTAAGGTGATGAGTGGATGTAGGTGGAAGGGCATGGAGGGAAGAAACGTAGGGGGTGGAGGGTAGGTAGGCGTTATTTATTCCAATCTTGTTATTTTTATGTCTCATTTGTGCCTTTGAATTTTGGGGGGAGGGAGGAGGGGGAGAAGGGGAAATGGAGGGAGGAGGTGGGAGGGAGAGAGGGAGGAGGAGGGGAGGAGGGAGATAGAGAGAAATGCAGACTTTATTTTATCTTTCCATTTATTTTTGGTTTGTGTGTGGAGGGAGAGAGAGAGAGAGAGAGAGAGAGAGAGAGAGAGAGAGAGAGAGAGAGAGAGAGAGATGCTGGGAAGCACGATGATTGGTCCTCTGATGGAGAATTTATCTTGAGTTACCCCTAAGTAATTTTTTCTTCACGTTTTCCTCTCTTCGCTGGTGTATGTAGACTTTCATTCACTTTCTTCCCTTTCTTTCACGTTCTGTATTACGTTATTATTATTATTATTATATATTATTATTATTATTATTATATATTATTATTATTATTAATATTATTATTATTATTATTATTATTATAGCGCATCTGATGCACCATAGTCAAATTTAATCAGACTGTACCTGACTTTATTACTTACTACCATTAATAATATTACAGCAATACGTAACTGAACGAAGTATTACTGA